TGATTGTCCTGAGATTGCGTGACTGCTGGGCAACTCCTGTGCCAGCCCCTGACCATGAGGTGCAGTGGAGTCTCCTGGTGGATGGGTAAGGTCTCTGAATGGAAAGGCTAATGGCTTTGTCTTATCACAAAAACCATTGTCTTCAAGCTGCTCCTGCCAAGGCCAAGGTCACAGATGTTTCTACATCCTCTGGTCTGAAAAGCAAGTGATCGCGCTCTAGTCATAATCTAACCTCAAATCAGCCCACCTAATTGTCACTGAACTGCAATTTTATTAGCGTTGCGCTGGGTCACATTTTCCAAGCCAGGAATGCACAGTGTCGATCTCCTGGAATATCTACATGCACATAGAAGAACACAGCTCAATATCCTGAATAACAAAAGCAAAGTACCATACAGTGGAGACAGTCAGTTCAGCCTCTGTAACCTGGGATCCTGTCCAGGTCACCGGTAATTTTAATTCACTTGTTTGGCCACCCACACCCCTGGAAGAGATGCAACTTGGACCAAGACTTCTGGCCAAAAGGTAAGGACACTACCACTACTGTAAGAAACCCTATACATGCTGTTATAGCTCACCAAGCCTGCACTCTAGAATGGAATCATGACGAGTTGAATTTGCCTAATTGTTTAAATTGGGATCATTTGGAGTACTATTCAGTTCACATTTCTTCATCTGAAGAGCGCATCAATGCAGGAGGTGTTCCAACGCAATGTTCTGTTGGATAGTTTGTAACTTGCTTGAATAGCTCTTAGTTAGAACTGACTTCAATGTCCCAGTTCACACCTGTGAGCAACTAGGTTAGACCAAGGAGAACAAGAACAAATCTCGTTCTTTCAGAAACTCCCCTCTGGTCTTGGAGGCTGCTGCCGTAAATGGCCAAGATGTCATTGCAGTAGATCAATATCTCTCCTATTGCCACTGACTGAACCTTCCTGTTTCAGGTGCCCCTATGAGGGTGATGACTACCTGACTGTCCTACACCCAGTAGATGCCTCTTCTGGCCTGCAGTTCCCAACCCGTCACAAGCAGTTTGAAGTGAAGACCTTTGTTTTCTTGGATGGTGTGTCTGAGCAGCCCCTCTCCGAACAGGTGACCAAGCTGATGAAATCCTCTTGCTCGCTCTCTGTACTACAACCTGGACTTGGCTACAAGAAGCTCCCCTAAAATCTCTGCTTCTTTCCAGGTGGACTTGCATTGCAGTGCTGAGGTTTGCTCTCCCTCTGGTCAGGATGACTGTGCACCCAGATGTGGTCCAAGTGAGTTCCTCCTGTGGAAGGCCAGCAGTGTTTTAAATGGCCTTACTGAGAAAGTAATGAGCCAT